CATGCCCTCCCTCTACTGTTACTTGTGAAAGGCCATACAGAGACATGGTACCATTTGTTTGTTAGTAGAGCAAAGCCCATCACCACCTACAATACTGAAGTGCTGGCATTGTTGTAATAATTTAATATGAAACATTATCCGGTGTATCTCCCAGGAAATACACAATAAACTCAACCTTTCAAACAACACTACAGAGAGTAGGTGCTGTAGTATTCCCACTGGTTGCTATAGGAAACACAGCATATCTCTGCACAGAAATGGTGTTTTAAAGTTTTTCAGTTGTAACTCTCTGAAGATTTAAAAGAGACAACTGCTAGAGAGGTAAGATGTATATTTGAGGGGTAGAAGACACAGCAGGCAAGTGAGCTGAAGTGACCAGAAGCAGGATCACAGTTGACTTTGCACAAATCCAGTGCACCTGCTGTTCTCCATAGTGTCAGCTACTCACAGTTTTATTCAAGCCAATTCTCTCCACCTTCTCTACTCCTTCCTACCCTTCTACCAGTCTGCATTTTGGCTCACACCCTCACACCAGTCTTGAAACTGTCCTGACTTGAGTGAGCTGGTTCAGGCAACTAAATTACATCTGAAGCACAGGAAACTGGGCATTTCTTATGGTGTTTAATATCCTGCCAGTTCATGTCCCTTAGCCAGCTTCCTCCAGCAGCACCAGTTTCAAAATTGGTGTGAGAGAGACAATTGAATTGAATAGGAGGGCAGAGGGAGAAAAGAATAAGGTACTGTGGAAACACCAACTGTGATGGCCATTAAAACATCCCATAAGCTACCAAAATCTAAAATCAATGAAAAAAAAATGTAAGCTGTAGCAAATTTTAAGTATGCTGAGTAGCAGTGCAAATCATTCACTTCATAAGCAACAAGAATAATTCTTAACAAATATTATTCTAACAGTAGCTGTGCATCAGCATTTATCCAGGTGTTCCACAATCCTGACAGACCCATATGTTCTAGAGACATTCTATGTATTCTACATAACCACTTTGTTTATTTCCAGCCATTTCACTGGGACGCATCATGGCTGCAAGCACTCCTTTTTGAGCCTAATTTTCATCAGGACTTAAAATTTTGAAAGTCCCATCCAGCCAGTATCATTTTGCGAGTCCCATCCAGCTAGTTTTCCAAAGGCAGACAAAATTAAATGAAATTAAACTGATATAAAAATTAATCAAAATACAAGACAGAACCAATCTGTAAAGTGAGTAGAGACAAAATTAAATGAAATTAAACTGATATAAAAATTAATCAAAAATACAGAACAGAACCAATCCGTAAAGTGAGTAGGAGAGTAGTACTCAAGTCAGCAAGTGGAAGGCAGAACAGTAAATCTGAAAACGAGAGCTTTGGAAGAGCTGCCCATTTTTCCTGGAAGACATCCTGTTTTCCAGCCATTGTTCTTTTTAGAACATTAGTATTTTTATGTGTTTGTCTTATTGGGAGGGTTTTGGCTTCTATTAAGAGAAAACGGTTGGGTTAGGACACACCCTCAATTCTGAGTGTGCCACTGAGCAAGCTTTTGAAAATTACCCATTTACAGTACAACTATAAGCCATATGAACTTCTGTAACTGAAAAACAAATCAAAATAACTATGCACTGATTCATGCTAAAAGTAAAACAATAACTAAAACTTTGAGAACCAACTATCTGGTAAATGTACATTATATTAATATAGTGAGAAGTATGCAAAGAACCTCACAAATCCTGACTGCTAATCCAGTGCCACCTTCTTTCTAGTACTGACACTCAGAGATTTAAAAGACTACTTCAAACATTAGAATGCACATTAGAATATTTCCCTCCCTTGAAATGTCCTACATGTCTGGACTTATAAAATAAGTTGATGAAACTTTTAGCACCTTCTTCACAATAACAGCAACAAAATACAGTATATAGGAAGTTTCGTAAGATGTAAGAACTCTTGAAATATCAAAATCTTTATGTGTTACTCAGAAATATGAGACTGGTAAACTCATAGGCCATGTTGCCTTATATAGTCATTAAGTCCAGCTAACAGATGATACAGAGCAAGAGGAATTGTTGCCAGTTACTTTAGACTGGAAAATATGAGAACAAAATCTAATGCCAGCTGCCAGCTAATTCCTCTTCTCTTCTAACAAAAATATTTAAGAAAAGCTTTCTTTGGCTGCAGCCATTTGCTCTCTAGTAAGAGAACAGAATTTGGTTCTTGCTATAATAAGCTTTATTTTACATTTTTCTACACAAGTTAGAAAAATAAACACGGAGAAAACACACAGCGGTGGGGAGAGAAGTCTGTTTGGAAAAAGCTGAACAACCATGGACAACTGTCAAAGTTATGGGCTATCTTAGATTATTTTTGAACCATCCACCCTTAGGTTTGCTTGGACCTTGACCACTACCTTAGTTTTTAAATGAAAGGAAGGTGAAAAACACTTTTAACATTTTTGTAACTGAATACTTTTGGGGAGGGCTTGACTTTTTAGTCCAAGCTGATACTCTGCTCTATTTCCCATCCTTCTTTTGCCCCACTAATAAAGTGTCAGTGGTAGGACAAAAGACAAAATTTTTATGGACAAAGTATTTCCCAAAGTTCAGAAACTGACCCAAAATCAGGGGTGTTTCACTTGATATGTTTTCAGTTTCTTCTCTCAGGTGCAAGCTGTCCTAGTTAAGCACTTTGCAGATCATCATACTTAGAAAAGAGTGGGCACAGGTACCCGAGTTAGAATCTACTGGAGAAGGCTCTGGGTGTACCACAAGTGGAAGGTTTGGATACCTCCTACCAGAGCAGGATGCTGGGAAGCATAGCAATGCCAGGAATTGTTTCTAAGGATTCCTGCTGCTGATCTCTCCTCCTGCCACTGCCAGCTTTCCTACCTCTCCCCAAGAAGGCACCAAACAGAAGCATCTGCAGGAGGTACCCCAGGGCAACCCAGACATACTGGGTCAGGTCACGGCTGCAGCACAGAGTGTGTCAGAATGGCTTCTGCAGAAGGACTGTACAAAACAGAACTGAGAGACACAACATAAACCACATCTAGACAATGCAGAAATGGTATTCCAGTAGGAGAAAAAGAGGCAGTGCCTCTCTCCACACAGCTACATTTTTCTCCCTGCTCCTCTAAACCAGAATGTTTGCATTTAACTTGTTTATTGGATGGTCCCTGGAATGAGCTGGGGACTGTACTGAGTATGGAAGTTGTTTAGGAGAGGATTAAATAGCAAAACGATATCAGAGAGTATGCTAACAATTACATAGTGCAAACCAGCATAAGACAGCATTCAATCCCTTTCAGGGCCATGCTTACTTTGTTAGGATAAACATGAAGATTAACAGCTGTCCTACACTCACGGCTCAGCCAGAGATTAAAAATGAGGTGAAACTTAAGCAGACATCTCCTAGTGTTTAGGCTCACTTCAACAAAATCTGTGGAAATCCAAATTTGGTTCATCCCAATGTACTTCCTCAACTATTTCCAAATAAGAACAACAATGTCTTACCAGTTTTGCATGAACAAATTCACTTTTACAAAAACCCTGACTAAATAGGGACAAAATATTTCTGAATTCTTGCATATTTTATTAAGATTTAAGTCTCCATTCCTTCTACCCAAGTACACACGGTTTCTCTAGACAGATGAAACAAGCCACATAAATACACAAGTGATGTAAGTTTTTTCTAGGCCATACATAAACACCTAAAACCAAACCTATCTTTTCAACATGGTAGCAAAAATTTATCATGGGACATTTTTTCAAAAGAACTGTATCACAGGAAAGTGATTTCTTTGAAGAAAGTAACAACATAAAGCTGTTGAGGAATTCACTCTCATCCCCAAAGCCTAGATCAGCTTTTCAGAGTTTCAGACTGCTGATGAAACCAAGATTATCATTTCTTGATGCTTCAAAGTATCTAAACCCATGCACTTGTAATTTGTGACCTGCCAGTCTGAAACTGTTAAACCTTGACATAGTAGGTTTTAATGTTTAATTAGAACATCTTCAAGGAAAGCTTCCAGTGGAAAATATACTTTCAAGTAAGAGATTGAAACAATTTCTTTAAAGAAGTCTATGGAGCATAAGAATTTCCACGTTGTTCACATTTTCTGTTAGGCTCTTAGAGATACTTATTAAACGCAGCTCCAAACTTCAAACTGCTGAAACTGCCTCACACACACATGCACAACATCAAAGAATTTTCCACCAGCCAAGTGCAATGTGTATTATGTTATTCTTTATGCTTTTATATAAAAAGATTTAGTGAAGTACTGTGCCTAAAACTGAAAGCATTTGAGGTTTGTCCTCTTGTTTACATATGCCAGTTTGGCTGTATCATTTTCATAGCAGCAAGACCTTGTTGGCTCACCTTTGTTTCACTGTTATTCCTGCCCAAACATGCACTTTGGCCTAGTGCATTTCCCAGCTGAATTCTGTGACCTTCTCTCTGCTTTCCACTTTTGCTGCTATCATGATCATTTTGAATTTTAATTCCATCTCACTATGTGCTTCATCAACCCTGGTCACTGGTAAATTGCCCACTTGCTATTTAGGATAAAAACTTCACAGTAGGTAGGTAATTTCCCATTTTAATTTGTGTTAACACCAGCACTGGTTTTCTTAACAACCTTGCACAGATTTTGTGAAATTTTAAGTTATATCTACAGAATATAATGAGAAAAGCAACAAAAGCTTTTCTACAACCAATCTAGATGGTATCTATTGATCTTTCCTTACCCAGAGGACTTGTAAGAAAAGTTTGACAGCTTTCACAAGACACACTTCCAAACACAAGACACACTTCCAAATGCCAATGTAATTATTATCCATCTTGGTTCCTGCTAGCATTCATAAATTTTTTTCAGTGTTTATTTGCCAAAGTTCAAGCAAGCAGTAGTGATTTCCCAAACTGTTTCCTTTTGCTGCTAAATTCTTGCTCCATCATTTTCTATCTACCATCAGCAGCACTCTAAAAGAATTGGAAAGGGAGATAAAAGTGCTTACAGGTTTTCTAAGGAAAAAAAGAGATAGTGCTCCAATTAGGGGCATGTCTCCAATTAGTGGTTCCAGGATAACCCTCATGGTGCCATGGATCTGTGAAAGGGGAAGAAAAAAAAGACAATGAAATTTACTTTAGTCAAGTTTTAAATAAAATTTATTTGCTGGCAATGTTCACACGTCTAATTCATTAAATTCTTGTTTACAGAAAAACTTTATATATATATATATATATATATATATATATAAATTCTTTCTTTATATGTCATCCAAACCCCCAAAAAATTCATACAAGCACTTAACAGTTGTGCTTGAAAACTCATTACATTCATCTGTATCATGCATGTTGGTGGTAATTTCTTAAAAATGTGAAGTAGATTATTTCTACAGCTCCATGTAAACAAATGTGACACAAGAAGCACAGTGGCACCACAGGTACTGGAGCAAAGCAGGTAAATGCTTACAGGTATGTCAAGACATACAAGCAAAAGAGCTAATTCTGCTCCTTATGGAGAGATCTGTTATCAGAAAGTTCAGGAAATCTCAGAAACAATATCAGAAGGCAAAGCTACTAATAGCAATTGCATCTAAACCAGTAATTCTATCTGATGTTTAGATATTGCATGAAATAAAATTTTAAGCTCCATGGTGCCTTTAAAAACAGGCACATCACTTGAACCCATCACATCAGCTTGATGTGAAATTATCTCTAGGTTTTCCTGAAGTAAATGTTACATATTTGTTCTACATCTTAAAGGATTTTTTTTTTCTTATGTTAAGTCGTGTTACTGAAATTCTAATGCAGTATCAATACTATTCAAATGGGGGGGGGAGCTAGAAAACTACACAATTACTGTTGTTTTCTCACAGATGATTTAATCAGAAAATAGTGATTTAGGGATATGAAAATCAAAAGAAAAAAACTGAACTTCACCTGTATGCTTTTCACACCAGCTCTGCAGAAGTATCTCTTGATCTCCAAATCAATTTCACAGTTTCCAACAAAACTAAACCAAAAAAGAAAGTACACATTTCACTTTTACAAACTAAATTGCAATAAACTGTTCTGTTTTGCAGTGTCATGACAACATATTCTGTCTCCCAGTGTATGCACAAAAAATGCCTGTTGAAATATTAGAACATAAAACAATGTCAGTTTGCTTAAACATTCCTTTCAAAACATCACTGTCATCAGAATCACTCAAATTAATACCTAGTTTTGCTACCATCTCCAGAAGGATGCATAAGAAACAAGCAAGAGGCCCTACTTTTGGGAAATAATGGACACAGAACTCATACTCCGTTTCAGGAAAGCTCTCCACAGATCTCATTGATTGTAAATGTACCCAAATCCACTCACATCTAACATAATCATGAGAAGCACTAGACAGAGATGGTGGTTATGCTAAAAATGAAACTTGTCTGAAACATTCACAGACTTGCAAAGCCAGTCGTATTTAGAATTTCAAGAAGCAGGGCATGCTGAGCTGAATGATCTTCTAAGCAAGTTCTAAGCCAAAAACAGTTGAGCCCTTTCTGAAGGGAGAGAAGGCAGGAAGCAAATTAGAGGACATTAAAAACGATGCATATTTTTCCCTGAACAGTTCTTGCATCCCATTTTTGGGGATGCAAGTTCAAGTGATTGAAATTTTCCAGATGCTGCCCTGTATTTCAGATTTGTCAAAGTTGGTAAAAACAAGTCCCATCTATTTTGCTATGCTACAAGGCTACAAGATTATTCACACACAACTCAGGCTTGGATTTGTAACTGCTTTCCCTGAACCTTCATCCAGGTCAACCATGTACCAACAGAGCTGAGCAAACTTTTTTTTCCAATAGCTGGCACTTCTGGGAGACACACTGGTTCTGAAACAAACTAATTTTAAGACTCAACAAGAAATTTAGGAAGAAAGCTTTAAACTCTGATTTAGCATGGAATTACTCAATGATTCTACAGAATGAGAGCTAAAAGCAAAACCCAAGAGGCTGAATACCATGCTCCAGGTAGGGAGAGGTGAGCTGGGCTAGGACACTCTCTAAGAAGATAGAGGCTGTAACAGAAGCACAAATGAAACCTGAAGAGATTTCTGAACAGACTGCCCAGATAAAGAAAATGGAAGAAGGAGCCAAGTGGGATGGAGATGAGCCAGATGAAAGCCACACGCTGCTGAAAGGAGGGGGAAATTGTTTCCTCTGCAGGGCATCCTGTTCCAGATTCTGCAGCAGAGCCCAGCTTTCTGTACATTAGTTCCTCAGACCTGGCCTGCACAGTGAAACACTGTTAGCTGTGTTTGGGAGTATGAAGTAATCTTATTACAAAAATGTCTGGGGAATTGTGAACAAATGGAATTGCTCTCTTCTCATTGGCTATTCTAGGCTCAAGTCAATGTAGAATAAATTACTCCTACAGTAAGAGCAGAACAGCAGGATTGCTGTTTCCTTCCCCTGAGCCTGAGGGGCACAAAGTACTACCAAAAGAAAAGACAAGGTGAGAGCTGCTGCATTCCACATATCCATTATCCAAATCATCTGCATCCTCCTCTGCTCTGTGTGTGGTGGTGCTGTCTTTGAGATTTCAACAAATACAAATCTAATCAATCCCTTAAACAGAAATAAACAATAGTACAAGGACTTTCCTGTAAACATCCATCACTGGAATTTATTTTCAACTATTCAAAAGACAACACTATGTAGAATCTTTTTTGTTTAATGGCCAGTTTGGGGAACTGGAAGACAACAACGTGATGGGGTCTATGTCAAAGGAAGGTGACAGTTGCTTTCCTTGGAAAGAATGTAGTGTGACTGTACAGTTTAAAAATAGGTATGTAACTTTTAATAAACAATTTAAAACGATGTAATTTCTATTTTTAACCTATCTAACTATATATAGAGATAGTAGAGATATATATAAATACACTCCCACATATATATATATATATAATTGCATAACAACATGACACAGAGAAGCAAGGTCAATTAAAACCTGCAACTGAAACCTCAATCTCGACACTCTGCAGCATCAGAACTATTTGTGTTACGAAGGCAGGGAAGCAATATGCTTGTTTGAAATCCATAACAACATGATGACAAACTGGAGTAAAAATAGTAACAAACTGCATTTGAGGGGACTAAGTCAACAACATTTAACTTTATAATAAAGCTAAATATGGTTTTATCCCCCAAGATATTTGGCTGGGTCCATTAACAGTCAATGCCTACACAATTCCACTGTAATACACCATATTGAAAGCTCAACTTGAAACCTCATTTAGTAAGAGCAAATTCTATACATTCAGTTCATAATATCCCAGAAATATTTATGATCCCTTTAAGGTACAGAACGCTGAGATAGATCACAGAATGAGGACACTCTTGTAAGAATATTAACAGCAGCTGTACTGAATCAAAAGAGAAGCGTGATGTACTGCCTGTGGTCACTGTAGCCCATGGAAGATACCCAGAAGAAAAAATAAAAGGTTATGGCAAAAATATTTCCTATATTATAGTGATATGTGGTTCTGTACACAGGACTATCTTAATTGTTTTTAGAAAGTTTTTAGGCCCTATTTTTACATCTGTCCTCTGTCAGTATAATGTAGTGAGTCTTCCCATTCAAGTATTCCACGTTTGAAAAAATCTGTCATGTGTTTCAATCTGCAGCCTAAAACTCTTTCATTGCATCAATTTTTTTGTGTCATGAGAAGCTGAAAAAACTCAGGCTATTTACAACGTCTTCTTCAATCTCTTAATGTTCTTTGATTTCTTTGCTACAGTTCACATTTAAATTGACTGAGTTTATCTTGTTTTCTGTTGATCCATAACTTTTATCCAAGTATTTACTACATTCACACACTTTAGCAAAGGTAAGATTTCTTTTTATTAACAATTTCTCAAGATTTTATCTTCATTTGCTCAAGTGGTTGAAATTTTTCCCTTGCCCATCAAGAACTAGACTTTTAAACTGTAATGAGTTTTGATAATTTTTTTAACATAAACTCCACAGTAAGAGAAAGGCAAAGCATTCACTTCACAAATGTGGTCCTCAAACTCAACCTTTGAACACATTCTCCAGTGAGTGCTTTGTGGATTAGTTATTCAAGCTACTTAGAGTGAAGTTCTTAACTGGACCCTGAGTGATGCACAAAACCTGCTCTGAAGAGTTCTGAAAAACACTCTGAAGCAATGATTGTAATGCACTCAGTATCCTTGCAGAAACAATAGAAACTAAACCAAAACACACTCCTTTTGCAATTAAAATTAAAAGCAGACCAAAAAAAAAAAAAAAAAAAAAAAAAAAAAACCACAACGATGATGCAAAAAAATACTCTAGAGTTTTAGAGACACATTGAAACTACTTTAATGCACTATGGAAGGTCCAAAACAAATGCACACACCCCACCACAAACAACTGACAGCAGAAAGAGCTAAAAGAAGCCACAATAGTGGAACTGCAGGATAAAAGGGGATTCTTAAAAGAATTAATGTACTTTAAACTGAAAAAAAAATATAAATAAAATCTTTCCTTCCTTCCCTCACCACATGCCCCACAGGGCTTGGCTTCCTACAACTATTCTTATGAATGTTTAGAGAGATTGTTTGAGAGGTCCTTTTCAACTGTATTTAGAGAATGAAGGGTTTATAGAAAGCTCCTAACTTTAAACTTAGAAATAAATTAAAGTTATAACAAATTAATTTAACTGGAGATTAAAATCTACAGGGATAAATACTCCAAAGGATGGACTTTTCTCCAGCAGTGAGACTGCTCTTTATAATCTTGCAAAACTGCAATATAAGACATAATTTAGGGTTGGTATCTGTATTTAACTTTTTATCTAAATGTATCAAGAGGCACTTATTCTTCCTGTTATGACAGAAAATCCCAGTGATAAAACTCTCAGAGGAAATATAAATCAAACTGCTGAAAAGCAAACAACAACATCAAGCAGTAACAACTGGTACAGGGGGCCAGGGGGGCTCTCTGTCTTAAACTTGCATACTAAAACCTTTGGAAAAGAGCCCTTTCTGAAGGAGAAGCCAAGCACAAGTCTTAAATATGAAACAGGACTTCCTTTGATGATGGTTTTGTCTAAGCCTTAATTCCTAGAAGCTGTGATAGCCACCCCAGAGCACTCATTTCCATTTTCTTCCTGGAAGCCTGTGCCACTGGCAGTAGGGACAGGATGTTGGGTTCAAGAGGCACCCAAGTGACCCAGCTCTATTAGTGTTATTTAAACCACTTCAAGGAATTTATTTCAGCCTTTTAAACTGGAATCTATTGCAGCTGTCGACCACTTCTCTAGGTTGCAAGGTAATAAAATGAGACATATGGGTAAAGATCTCCTTCAGGTCTGTGTAACAGGACATTATTCCTGAAATTTTGTACAAACCTACCAGCCTTTTTACTTTTATCTAATTCATGATGATAAGCAGAAATAAAAAAAAATTAATAGATTTATTCTGTCTTCCTGTGAATAGTTCTGCCTTAAAGGGAAGAAGTGGTTTTGGAACAGAAACAGATTCTTAAAAGCAATTTCTATGGACTGTTTGGTCAGACAAGATTATTTCCCTGAGGGCTTATCTCTGAAGAGGTGAGGCTGTTCTCCCAGTTGCTGTCAGATGTAGGGACAAAGAGAAAACTGAAGGAAGTTGCTCCATTAGGGCTAACACATTCATCCAGTGAAATAAGCTCTCAAGAGCCAATCCTGCTGGTTTTGGTCCAGCAACACAAATCCCTGATTTGGACAGCTCTCTTTTTCCTACAGAAATAAAAATATTTGATTCAATACAGACTGGGCTCTGCTCACAGATGTAGCCCCCACCTGCCCTGGAACCCAGGGAAGGTGACAGCAACCTTTTCTCTTATCACTCTGGGGCCTGCCCAGCTCTGCCAATGCAGCAAAGGCTTCAGCATTGCTGAGCTTTAGACAAATAATTCAAATTTAAGAATTACCACGTTCAAATTTTGGAAGTGCCTCTGAAGCTGAGCCGCCTGATGACCCTCCTGGCTCCTGCCAGGGAAGCAGTGAGGAGCACAGAAGGCTGCTCCTTGCTGGACTGTCAGTGACTGACAAATTTGGCCTTTCCATAACCCACAAGAAGGCAAAAGTAGCCACGGTAGCACAGACCTATGATGATCAATTATAAAAACATTGCTGGGCTCACTGACTGAACTTTCAAAAAACTCTGCAACTGCAGGCTGTGTTGAGAATGACTTGGGTAAATATAGGGTAGACCTACTGAGAAACCCATATAAAAGGAGTCATGATGAAATAGCAAAGAAAGCTGAAGCAATGGAGCACAGTGATTCTGGCATTTTATAATACATAGATTTACTCTGATAAAGTAAACACCAATCGTTCTGTAGCTTTCATTATTTTTTCTAATACTATGTTTATAAAATAATCCAAGTAACAAACTCAAAAAATCTTACATCTTAGATTTCAGACTACATTTAATGGCAAAGTATTAAAGCACTAAGGAAAAAAGTCAAAGATAGTGCTTTATCTTTGGAAAGTATTTTTTTATTAAGAAACATGACTTTAATGACGAAACCACACAGAGTTGATATTTCATTGCTGTTTACAGCATGCAGTTTCTTCCTCCATTCATACACCATTAGAACTAACTATATTTGCATAATGAACGATTCTCCTTTCAGGCCAACATAACTGCCAAATCAAGCAACGTGCAAATTATAAAGCATGGACCCCAGTGTAATATAGTAACAAAGTTTACCTGATTTGAAGGTCCAAAATGATCTGCCTTTTGTCCACATTTTCAGTGTACACTTTTACACCATTTATCCTCAGAGGCTGGAACAATGAAGCAAGTAAAAGTTGGATTCTTCTACAGAAGTATATTAAACTCTTAACTTTGAATGAAAGATTAATATAGGTATATTCATGCCTGAAGTTAAGAACCTACTATAAACATTAAAAGGTGTGAAGTAAGGCTATCAATTTAGTTCAAATTATTATTTCAAGGGTAAAAATTACCTTGCTGGGATCCAATTAACTACAATCCTTCTGGAATTACCCTGGGTATGGACCACTAAACTTCAAGATCTATAAAATATTTAATAATCAAGCTTTCCCTCTCCCCTGCATAAACTGACTTCTCTGTAGAGGTGTATGTCTAACACTCCCAAAGCATTCTTTTCTGTGTAACTACAACAACAAGCTAAACTTAGTTCACAAAAACACAGTTGCCTTAAGTGGAAATTAGTGAGAATAGATGGAAAAGAATCTGTAATTCCCATAAAAAGTTGCGTCAACCACTCTGTGCTATCTTTCTAAATCACTGTGTTCACACTCTCCCCTCTCTCCCTCACACAGAATTAACACTTATCAATTACACACTCAAGCCCCAAACATCCATCAAACACTAGGCAGGAGTGGATGACTAACAACGTCATTTTTGAGTTTTTCCTTTCTTGAAAAATTTTCGTATTTCTATTTACACCTTTTTGATAATTTCTGCAAAATCAAAATCTCACTGCTGTGCTGGGGCTGTGCAGCTCAATCATCTCCATCAAGGTTGCAGTATAAAGTAAGAATATATCTTTGTCATGTCCAAGGTTACTCAATTCAGCTGCAGAACCATACAGAGGTCTGGGAGCTAAAACCTACTTAAAATTAGTATATCTTAAAAGGAATGCTACAGTCTACAATACAAATATATCTAGGGCAGGACAAAGGCCCTGTGTAAAAGGTTTTACAATTTAAAAAAATAATAAACCCAACACACAGAAGGTGCAGTAAAGCATAATGAACTTTAACCTACATGAAATAGAGTCACAAAGAGAGGAAAAAAAGTCCCCTCTATCACACCTGAAAATTAATTTCAGGTTTCCTAACATTTGAGGGTGTGTGGGGGTGTTGATTTTTAAATCCTTATTTGAAATTCAATTTATGACAAGCAATAGAAACATGAAAGACAACTTCAAACAAAAGCTGTTAAACTGTATCTAAAGTTCTGGTTAATGCAGGGATGATTACCTAGTGCAGAACCTGCTGCAAGCAGAGGGGATCATTCTCAGCTTGCACTGGTCAGACAGGTTCTCCTGCAGATATCAGACCCCTTCTTTCACAGGATGGAAGAGAAGACAAACATCTGTACACCCCTTTATACTGTGTTTTGTGCAGTCCTTGAAAAGCCAAGCCAGCAGCCCTATCATTGACTCCACACACAGCATGATTAGAATGCATCTGTGACAAGAAAACTGCACTTGGACCATCTGGTAAAAGGATAATGGTCCCTGTTCACTTAATGGAAAGTATTGCATGAACATTAAATATTGCATGAATATTAAAATCACATTGCTGTGAGCTCTTCATGTGACCAGGCATTGCTACACTGAGTCATCTCCAAATTCTCAGTCAGGTTTCTGAAGCATAGATCCCAGGAAATGCAATAAAGCCTCTGCTAAAAAACCCACACATTTTTATTTTAATGTTACAACAGAAATCAGAATCAGGCTTAAGACCAAGGGGCACTGAGAAATATTTCTGTGCCGATTCGAACTGGCTACATGAAAATGTTGTGTAAAACAGGGTCTCTTAAAAAACCTCACCAGACACTGACCTGATGACCAATATCAATCTTTGTAAAACTGAAGGTACTGAGGTGGTTGTTTGCTCCTCTTACTGCTGGTTCTATGGTTTCTCGGAAGAGTTTCTCAATGAATTGACATATAAAAGGCCACATCTGTTTTACAGTCTAAGGAGAAAAAAAAAATCTACATGGAAGTACAGTTCTTAAATACATGAATAAGTTATAAATGTAAAAAATCAGAACTTCACTGCATCTGAATTTTCTATCTGAAAATTCTATATTGCTTTTTTTTCTTACTATTTTCCAATTAACTCATGTTCTTCTATGCTCTTTGAATGAAAGATATTTTTTAAAAAGTAAGCTACATAGATTTATATCTTAGATTATCACACACACAAATCAAAACTGCAAATTTCATTTATTTTTAGATTGTAGGTCAGGAACCTACAGTAACTGGAAAGTATCCCAGACAAGTAGAAAATTAAAGATTGTGTTTACAGCTGCTATGACTTCTACACAATTATAGCTGTCATTACTGTAATGCCACTTTAAATCATTCATAAAACTCACAATTTCAGGACCATGAAGCTAAATTTAATCTCTCTTGTGACTAACTGGATCAACAACCAGAGACTTCAAGTGTATAAAGAATAAAGTTAAAACTACTCTGTTCTCAGATTCTTGCCTCACCTTTTGTTTTAAAATCAGCCTTCCCTCCTGCCCCTTCCAATTTGAGAGCAATGTTTCTCCTTACCTTGTTGAGCCATTCCGCTCTCTCTGTGTCTGGAAAATGCACCTAAAAAACAAAAACAAATGCAAAACAAAAAATTAATACAAATAGTTAATTGTGTCTTTTAGTTAATTGTGTCCAGTCATTTATAATACCAGAAAACTTAGGGATCTCCCTAGACAGTGGACAACATATTGAGCAGCCAACAGTCCTGACAAGAGAATTAAAATACAAGCAAATTAAAACACAAACTCATTTCTGAACTACATAAATATATTCTTTGACTTGTTTCTAGTAGTAGCACCTGGAATAAATACTGCTGTAACACCATGGACAAACTAAAAAACAAGCACAGCTATCCCAGCTTGTGTCAACCAATATTAACATGACACACACGACTGCCAGAGTCCCAACTGCAATTCTACTTCCTTTCATTCATGCCAAATCTTCTTCGGTGTCAATAAATCACAGCTATAAATATTTAATCAGTGAAGTTGAAGCTCAGGAATATGGATTAAATTCGGCCAAAAGTCCTTTGAAAGACATTTCTAGTGATTTCTTTTCTCAAACAATTGCAGAAACCAGTCAGAGACAAAGTGACAGTTTATATACATGACAGAAAGTACCCATGGCAGTAGGAAAACGTCAATTAAATGCTGGAAGAACAGACACAGTTTTCCTGACATAGGAGAGCACAGTTAGTAGCTTTCACAAAGAGAGGAACACACACACACACAAAAAAAAAAAAAAAAAAAAAAGAAAAAAAAAAAAAAAAAAAAAAGAGTCCCCTCCAAACAAAAATAAAGCCCTGAAGAAGCAGAGCTAACAAAAATTTCCTTAGAAACTCATGGGCTGTAGAACAAGATGCAGATCACACTTCCCAAACACAAAGAGCCTTTGAACACACTAAAAAACCGTGACCTACATATGGTGACTTTTGTGAAGCAGCGTCTCTACTTAACCGAATTGCCAAGTCTTAATCTCTTCATAGCATAACAGATTGCACCAGTGGCTTCAGCAGCAGTTATTTTTATTATGCATATCCCAGATGTGAACAGTCAGTGAAAGACCTACTCTTTAAACTGTATTTTCAACAAGATGAATTTGAAAGCAAGCCCCATTAATGACTCTTTTCAGTTTTTATTTACTTCTTTCATTAACAATCAGCACTAACATATTCTTCATATACTCAATCTAGCCACAGAGCAGTCCTTGATTTCATCTAAACCCCCAAACTTTTGCTATATAGTTTTTGCTATGCTGCCCTTCAGCAGCATAATCAATAATGTCAGACTTATCTCTCCAGCCTGTTTCTTTTTCAACAATCCCACGTCAACAACAAAGGTATGCCCCATGTTCCTACAAATACTTGAAGAATTACAAATGCTGCTGACTTCCACTGTCAAGAAAGGCTCTCAGCATCTTTTTCAAGTATATCACATATCTTTCAAAAGTTTTACAAGTGGTGTGAAAGTGTCCAGTGATCTGTTTGGCTGAGAAAAAACATTCAACATAATTTATTTTATGGAAGTTAAAAGAATAGAATTATTAATAACAGATGGGACAATTTGGGAGCCATGTTATTTTATTTACTTAGAATTAATTTCCTAGAAAGTTATGGTGGGTAAAATGTCATAACTCTGTACTTAAGAGGGTTGGGCATGGTGCCTGCCTTGTGAAAACAAAAAATACTTAATTTGTTTTTTACTTTTGCAACACAAGTAGTTACAAGTATGTACATGAACTTACAGCTGAACAGAGTTTACACAGTTTTTGTCTTGCAGGGTTCTCATGTTGCTCCCAACAGTAAAAAAGTTAAAGGAACAGAAAGAATGAACACTGTTAACCCCAACACTAATAAATAACATCTTGATCTCTCCTTTAAAGTATTTGCCTTCTGAATCGGCAGACAGAAAAAATGTCAATTCTCAGTAATGACTTGTGCGTGATGTTGGATCAACATGTTTCATTCTGATTTAGGTAGGAGAGATCAGTGATGTTCAGTTTCACAGGGTGAGAGCTGCAGAGCTGCTCCACACAGGGGACACCAATGTAATCCAAGAGGAAATGGTCAGCAACCTGCTACAGCACCTGGACAAGCACAAGTCTCTGTGGCTGGAAAGGATCCACCCAGTGGTACTGGGGCAGCTGGCAAAAGAGCCACTTCTCCATCATTTACCAGCAGTCCTGACTAACTGGGGAGGTCCCAGGTGACTGGAGGTCAGCAAATGTAACCCCATGCACAAGGGCCTGGGGGAACTACAGGCCTGTCACTGACCTTGGTGCCAGCAAAGGCCATGGAGCTGATGTCCTGTTATGACAGCATGATTTTGTGGACGAGGGAAAGGCTGTCAATGTGTTGACCCAAACTTCAGTGAAGCCTCTGCCATGTTTTCCCACTGCATTCTCCTGCAGAAACTGGCTGCTCATGACTTGGACCAGCGTACAATCAGCTGGGTAAAAAACTGGCTGGATGGCCAGGCCCAGGGAGAGTAGGGGGAATGGAGCTACATCCATGGTTGTAACTCTGGCCAGTCACAAGTGTGCTCCACAGGGCTCAGTGTTGGGGACACTCCTGTTTACTGTCATTATCAATGATCTGATATGAAGGGATCAACAGCACTCTCAGTGGATTTGCAGGTGACACCAAGCTGGGTGGGAGTGTTGATCTGCTGGAGGGCAGGAAGGGTCTGCAGAGGGAGCTGGACAGGCTGGACTGATGGACCAAGGCCAGTGGTATGAGGTTCAACAAGGCCAAGTGCTGGGTTCTGTATTTGGGTCACAACAGCACCAGACAGTGCTACAGGCTGGGGACAGAGTATCTGGAAAGTGGCCCTGAGGGGAAAGGACTTGGGGGTGCTGGTTGACAGCAGCTGAACATGAGCCAAGTGTGCCCAGGTGGCCAAGAAAGCCAAAGGCATCCTGGCTGGATTAGAAATGGTGTGGCCAGCAGGACCAGGGCAGTGATTGTTGATTGTTGCTGTCCTGGGCACTGGTGAGGCTGCGCCTGGAATCCTGTGCTCAGTTTTGGGCCCCACAAAACAAGAAGGACATTGAGGTGCTGGAGCATGTCCAGAGAAGGGCAGTGGAGCTGGAAAAGGGTCTGGAGCACAAGCCTTAGCTGGAGCACTTGATGGAGCTGGGATTCCTTAGCCTGGAGAAAAGGAAACTCAGAGGAGACCTTGTTCTCTTCAATTACCTGAAAGAAGGTTGTAGCCAGATGAGAATCACTCTCTTCTCCCATGTGAAAAAGAAAGAGGATAAGAGGAAATAGCCTCACGTTGCACCAGGGAGGTATAGAATGCATTTAAGAAAAATTTTTTCATGGAAAGTGTTGCTAGGCATTGGAACAAGCTGCCTAAGGAAGTGGTAAAGTCACCAGTGCTGGATGCATTGCAGCTGTGGAATTTAGGGTCACAGTTTATTGGTGGATCTGGCAGTGTCAGATTAATAGTTGGACTTGATGATCGTGGAGGTCTTTTCCTAAATTGTATGATTCTACAGGCATTGCAATGAACAGCAACAAAATAAGATAAATAGAAACAACAACGTGAACACACAGATGAGGAAAGGAAAAGAAAATTCATGGAAATACCAAAAGCAAACCTGTTTGCTGTGCGTAATGCAAGATATAACAGTTGCCATGTTCACAATTCATTTTTAGTCTTCTGTACAAGTATCCAGTTGACATTCAACAGAAGAGACACTCTAGACTTGAGAGAGGCTTCCTGCTCTAAATATAACCTCAGCCCAGATGAAATGCACCTTCCTCCAAAGGGTGATCCAACCTCCCAGATTCAGAGTATAAACTTCTGAAGGCACAGGCCACATCCCCTGCACCATGCAGACAGCTGACATCCAGTACAGCTCTGTGGAATGAGGAAAAGAGGAAGCATCTCTCTTGCACCTATCAAGCACTCTTCACGTTCAGTCCCAAATTATGCAGAAACACTTGAGATAGGTTGGGAAACAAAGAGGCCACAGATAGTCAAATCTACCCATATATGCTAATTTATTGATTTTTTATTTTATCTGCTCTACAATCTTTATTAAGACCTTAATAGGACATGACTCTTAATTCTCCCACGGATTTAATAATTACTTGTCCTTTGGTGTGCCACACCTATCATGCTCCTACAGTTACATGAGCTGGCACTAAGCCTGCTCCTCAATTATGTAAGCCTAGTTTACTCCTGCATGTGATAATAGGCAAGAAATAATACAATATCTTCTATTCCTGTTTCTCACTCCTTTTCCATTCTTGATTTTATGCTTGCTTACTCCAATTTTAATGTAGCTCAGTTTGGTGCCTATTATGACACAAAACAGAAAGCAGAGAATCTTTCATTTTCAAGATTCCAAAATTTTTATTCAAGCCAACCTTGAATCAAAAGCTGGGCTTTGCTTAATCTTTAGATGCTCCAAACCCAGGTTGTCTGAAAACAAAGAAAAAAATATTTATCCATCTACTAATCCCATATCTTTTCAGCCTATATGAGACTGCAATACTAGTTGCAAAATTATTTTTTGCTTTAGGAGTTTTTGACTTCAAATACAATCCTATGCATAGACAACAGGAAAAAGCTTGAGGGACAGAAGTTGGTACACTGGATCAGTCAGAACTGAGACAAGAACATTGAAGCAACTGCACAAACATTTTTATGGCCAGAAGCAAGAATCAGACTAAGTGATGTGCAAAATCTGTTAATTATTGTATAAAAATCTATTGACAAGCATGATAGAAAGAGACAGAAGTCAAGATTTCAGCTAAGATAGTTAACGACTAAAATCATTTTCCTCTTGGCTCCTGTTAGTAAATTACTCATGCAGGTTTGGCAAGTAGTGTCATTTCAACTACTTGCTGTAGCAATTCATTATTCAAAGCAAAGTGTAACAAGAGAGAACTGTTGCAAGAAATGCCCCAACGACCATGTTCAACACCAAAACCACCATAATATTACATGTTCCAGGAAAGTTCTGTTATCAAACGTTTTCTTGCAAAATACTTGGAAGTGCTCAAAAGATGCATTTCTGCACATTAAGAAGACACTATCTGGCTTTCTCAC